CTATTTACTACGAACATAACCCTGCACTCCTCATCAGCTGATGTGACGGCAGACTACGAGAGCACGCAGCGATCGTCTCTCGTCCTCTTCCTCATCGTATCGTCATTGCGAGTGGACGCCTGCAATCGGATTCTTCAATCAATGGTAGAATTTCACAATAATGTTTGCTCAACACAATAAAAACAATCATAAACAAACAGCAAAATCCATGACTAAAAAACGCAGTGCACTCAATTTTTCAACTTTCCTTTCGCCAGTGACATCAACATTTATTCCGGCATCACTGCCAGCCAGATTAATGCGAGCCCTGTGCCCTTTTTATTCCACGATTGCTACTGTCAAATCGAACAATCAGAATTTGGCTCTGATTTGACAGCAAATTGGCTCGAAATCGCTACCCGATTGTCATGTCCCGTCTTAGGAAATACTCAGAGGGAGATACACAGCAAAAAAAGCTGTTGAATATTACATCGAAACTGCTGCAACCAGTTCAATCCATCGGTTGTGTAATATCACATTGTACGATGTACATTGATTTTGCGAACAAAATTACATCCATTGATGTAATATTGTATCTGCCTTTTGCTATTACATCATTATTTCATACATCAGTTTGAATTACGTTGATCGATATTACATTTTTTTTGCTGTGTATGGGCGGAGAAAACAAAATACACTGGAGTCGCTTTTTACTTGGTTTTTTTACGCGGATTTCGGAATTTACACGGTTTTTTTTTTTACGTGGATTTCGAAATTTACGCGGATTTTGGATTTTTTTACGTGGATTTTGGATTTTTGTTACGCGGATTTCAGAATTCACGCGGTTTATCGTTATACACTGGAGTAGCTTTTTACGCGGTTTATTTACACGGTTTTTTTTACGCGGATTTCGGACTTCACGTGGTTTTTTTTACGCGGGACGTATCACCCGCGTAAAAAGCGACTCAAGTGTACAATTCGGCAGAAGGGATTTGTACCCTAGGGGAAGGACAAATCCAAGTATTAGGATCAATACCGACGGTGTAAATATTAAATATTTGAATGTGTGTGATATTTGCCAATCTCACACTTAGTCTGGCAGTAGTTTATTTTTGTTTTTTTATTATTTTTGGTTTTAAGTGTACATTTGATATTCGTTTGATCAAAAATGGATTTCGCACGAGAGGCAAGTCACTCGATGATAATCTTGCTGGCCACCGCCACAGAAATCCGCTCCTTGTTCTCATAAATTCGACATTCTTTGGTAGCTGATCTCAGTGCACATAATCGGCCGTACTGCCGTACTTCCGTTTGAAATAGTCATTATTGTGCGTTTCACACCAAATTGGACTAATAAGCGCGTTTTCACTTATTAAAAAGTGTGATAAAACTGCAAGTTTACGTCTAATCGTCTTGGTGTCTTCGGTGCACTTATTCCATATGATGCAAGCAATAAGTGCTCCGAAGACATCAAAACGATTTGACGGAAACGTGCACTTTTATCACACTTTTTGCATTTTTGGGACAGTCCAGTTTCAGATGCAATCAGCAATAATTTCCACGAATTCTTCATCGTCTGCTAACCATTGTGCTGTCCTCAGATGGAACGGGAATCGACTGACTACGCCGCCCCTGTAATCGGAGTCCCAGAGTGATGGTTCCGTGGTTGTATTACGCTCGATGCACCAAGGGCCTGCAACTTGGAAAGATTTGCTGCTGGGGGAACGCCCGAAGTCGAAAACGATCAGAGCTATCGAAAACGAAAATCTAGGCAAACATGATGACAAGCAGAAAGCTGCAGTAAACACAAACAACAACGGTTAAACGTCATTGATCGTATACGTTAAAGTTACACTGTTATTTTTATTTGTACATTCCGCTTGACAGTAAATATCATTAATATTTATACTAAAAACTATAATCACTACCAACTTGAGTAATTTTTACACCAAATAATACTTCAGATCAAGTTGTACTTCCCCTAGTTTGTACCTTAATTTTCTTGCAACCTTTGCTAGAAGCTAGCATTTCACATGACTTTTACTTCTGATTCGATTTACGTGCAAAATAATAATTGATTATATATTAATTAACCAACTAAGATCAATTAATCAATAGAATTAGAATATTGCTTTCGATTTCAACAACTAGTTTCACGAAACATAAAGGTGATTGAATTTCTGTTCGATTGCAATACAGAATAAAATAGAATAAAACAGAAATAGAATAAGAAATCCTCGAGGAAAATCTAATAGGCCTTTGTAATAGAAACTAAACGATCGATTCAACCTCTGGTGGTGAATAGGAGAACGTCAAAAAGAGTGTTGTGAGCATAAATTTTTGCCTTGAGACATAGGAAGCGGAACACTTTTTTACTTTTCCTGATAAATTGATTCATCTGAGATGCTGCAAAACTTAATCTACAGTTGAAAAATTTAATTCTGTAACGTTTTTGAAAATATCCTGCTGGTGTTCAGGAATATTTTTGTTGAGAAAAATGGAAAATTAGAAAAGTGCCTTAGTGGTTATGATCTTCCGGATTTCTTGTGTGTGAACAGTTAAGGTGCAAATCAGTTCAGATTTGTGGAAAATCGTACAATAAGACAATTACCGATGGAAATTGGCTAGATTTTGAATGAAAAATGCTGTTATTTGCGTTGGGGAAAATACTTATTCTGATGTAAACAAACGGTTTGGTTGACGTTTCTTCTCGAACTCGCGTGGCGCACTCTACGTTGGTGGTGCATTGAAAAGGCGTTTTGGAATGTTCGTTTGGCTCAGATTTTGACAGTTCATTTGGCTCAAATATATGTAATATTGTATCTTCTTTTTGCAATCACATCAGCATTATCATTTTTTGCTGTGTACTCCCTAATAAACAAATACCATAAAAGAACTGTATCCCGGATGAGTAAACTATCTCACAAATGGTAAGGCTCTCTTTTATGGTAATTTTTATTAGGGCTATGCTCTAACACCTACATGAAATGTTGGAAAAGTTTCAATTACTAAATGTTATAGTTATGACGATATTGTTCGAAAATTTAATTCCAGTTTGAATAGCATCAAACATGGAGTTAGTTTTCAGCATATCAGTAATCATGGCCATTAATGATTCCTGTAAAAATTACGGTTTAGGAGCAGTAATGCTATCTAAGTCAAAATCATCAAAATATCTGCTATAATTATTGTGGCTAGATTTTTGATTTCAATTTCTATCAGGTACAATAGCAGCATCTCCATTTACTGGCTGATAATTGTTAGCAGCAGGTATAGATGATGAATTTGAAGCAGGGGGATATCTGTACCCACGGGTACAAATGTAGAATTTGTTCCTGGCTGACCGTTATTAACAGCAGAGGAATGTAACCTGCACGGCGAATGAGAACGACCCAAATTTGAGTTTAGTTAACTCATAAATCACATAAAGTGTATAAACTCAGCGATGAGTAAATTTTCCTCACGTTTTCCTAAGTTTTTCCAGGAAAAAAATCCCTAGAAACGTAAAGATTGAATTCACTCTTTGTACTACTCCTAGAATGAATAAAATTTTCGTTAATTTCCACATTTTTCGGCAGACTCTTGAGGTTTTCCACAGGAAACCATGAGGAAAATTTACTCATCGCTGAGTTCCTGCACTTTTGGCGATTATGAGTGAACTAAACTCAGATTGGGTCGTTCTCATTCGCCGTGCCGGTAAATATTCCTCAGCAAAGAACAAATTCAACATGTTTTCTTCTCTAAGATACAACCTTAAACAGACGTTAAATTTTGGTGTCGTAAGATACCTGAGAAGACACTTGAATCCAAGTCCAAGGTTGCAGCCAATGCACGGCATTCATCCCTACGGCCAATTTGACGTGAACACTTGAATTTAACGAAGTTCAAAAGTTCCGTGCGAAGAGCATGGGAATTGGAAGTTGTTTACACAATAGGGGGGGCTTTTTCATTTTTGGTATTATGTTTAATGGAATTTTGCCTGGACGAAGGATCATTTTCATCATCCGTGAGCATATCAAATTGATTGCTCAAATAAATTTCATCAGAAGGGGGATCAAGAGAGGGACCTCCTTTGGATGGGTGATACGCCCAAGTAAGTCATTTGACGAAGGCATGGATCATTCTCATTTGAGAAACGCTATATGTAAGGGGCCTCCCTTACCTCAGTCGGTAAAGGCGCAGCTACAAAGCAAGACCATGCTGGACGTGGCTGGGTTCAATTCCCGGTCCGGTCTAGGAATTTTTCGGGTTGGAAAATTTCTCGACTTCCATGGGCATAGAAGTATGATTGGACTTGCCACACAATCATACCAATGCAAAAATGGTACAGGTATCGAAAGCTCTCAATTAATAACTGTGGAAGTGCATCTAGTAGAACACTAAGTTGAGAGCCCGCAATAAGCTAATATGCGATATGCAATAAGCTTGAAATGCAGAGAAGAAGAAGAAGTACAGTGGTGACCCGATTTTGTCAGCCCCCGATTTTGTCTACCCCCGATTTTGTCAGCTTTTTGACCCGATTTTGTCAGCCTATATGATTCAATTAGTTTTGGTTGAGGTGGACTGTTTTGTACAGTCGTATTCGTATGTTATTGATTGTTGAGCTCAATAATGACATTTTTTGAGAATTAAATGTGCGGTGGTGGCAAGATCAAAGCAGGGGGGAGGGGGATTGAGGGGCTAGTTGAAAATTATGAGATCCTTGTCGAATGCCTTCGTCTTCCACCTCCGGTTGCTTACTTTCGTTTTCCACTTTGCCGTAGGTATCCGTTGGCCAAAGCTGTACCTAATCGCCTGATGGTCACTATGAGTGTACTCCTCACACACTCATACTTGCCACTAACGACGGACTGCAGAAAGTGACGTCGATAATGGATTCCCTACCATCTTTGCGGAAGGTGCTGATGGTTCCTTCGTTGGCCAGACTGACGTCCAACTTTACCAGAGCTTCCAGCAGGCTATACCCTTTTGCGTTGGTACATCTGTTTCCCCAGTCCACTGCTCAAGCATTGAAATCTTCTTCAATGACGATTGGTCTCCGTCCGGTGAGCTCCCCGGTGAGTCCATCTAGCATCTCGCGAGTCCTTCTTCAGCTCGAAGAGCATCTCGCCTTTCTGGGTGCGCCTGGTTTTCACCACGTACTCGCCTAGTTTCTTCAACTCCGGATCCTCTCTCACTTTCCGGAGGAGTGCTGCGTATGTCGTTTTGTCTTTCGCCTCGATAACCAGAGCGTCGCCCTTACTTCTCTCCCTACGATGCCTGGGGTTTTCCTTCTTCTTGAATTCCTTCTTCCTCTCTTCCGTCTTCTTCTTCTTCTCTTCCTCTTCATTCTTTTTTTCCTTCTCCTCCTTCTTCTTCTGTTCCTTCTTCCTTTGTTCTTCTTCCTTCAGTTTTTTCCTCTTCTCCTTCTGGTTTTCGACTTTACGCCAATCACTGTCTTCTCCATCTTCTTGCTCCTTGTCCCCGTATTCGTAGTCCTTGTGTTTTTTGGGGTCCTCTTTGTCTCATGGCGTTTCCCTATCTCTTTTCTCCGGACGTGGGTTCGTTGGTCCCTTCAGCGTCTCCTGCGCTTCAGCCAGCATTGCATTCTCCTTGGCCTCAAGCAAAGCCTTTTCGGCCGCTTCAGCTCTTCTTCTCCATTCTTGCAGTTCCCGATCTGCCACAGTTATGCCGGATTTGATGACCGTCGCTAGTAGCTTGACCTCCTTGTGTATGTTGTTCTTATCCTTCACGAACACATAGAGTTCATCGATCTTCCTCCTAACCTCCGTCATTTTGGTTCTCCCAAGCTGCAATTCTTGCTGTTTGCCGCTGCTGGATTTCGGTGTGAATATTTGGCATGGCACCGCACCTAGCTGCTCTCCTTGGGATCCATGCTGTTCCACTTGGGGTATGCTACTACTGGAACTAGCTGTAGTCACCTGGTTCGACGCTGGTGATCTCTGCAACTTTCCGCTTCTTGCGAACACGTTCGCTCCTCCGTTTTCACTATCACTATCGTCTTGCCGTCGTCCTTCACATTTTTTTGGGTTTTTTTCATTTTCGTCTTTTTTGTTTTTTTTCTCCGATTTTCTCCATTCTGATGGGTCCCCCCTCCGGGCTGCTATCTCCACTCGTTGTATGTAGTCTCCTATCGTGATCCCATGGTTATCTATGCAAGCAGGGAGGCCATGCTAGGGTTGACACGGTCCTTCATAGGGCCGTGTTCAGAGCCAGATCGGCGTAAGTCAGTAATGTTACATCTGAGCCTACTACTCACTCACCAATCACCAATTGGTGTGTGTGTGTGTGTGTATGTGTGTGTGTGTGTGTGTGTGTGTGTGTGTGTGTGTGTGTGTGTGTGTGTGTGTGTGTGTGTGTGTCTGTGTGTGTGTGTGTCTGTGTGTGTCTGTGTGTGTGTGTGTGTGTGTGTGTGTGCGTGTGTGTGTGTGTGTGTGTGTGTGTGTGTGTGTGTGTGTGTGTGTGTGTGTGTGTGTGTGTGTGTGTGTGTGTGTAAGTGTGTGTGTGTGTGTAAGTGTGTGTGTGTGTGTCTGTGTGTTTTTTTTTTTTTTATATAGTAAGGTTTAGGAAAGCTTCAAGAAGCCTGGTCTGTAGTGTTACTCCTATCTATACCCTCCTTCAATTCAAACGAATAAAGGAAAGCTCACAGGGTCGTTTTATGTTTACTCTCTTTGACACTGCACCTTCTAGCATAAAGAAGAAACATGAACAACATGAACGCTAAAAGGTTCATCAGGGTTGAATCCAACTAGATACATTAGTTTCACCAAATCTAACCTCGGAAAGATTTCAGAAAGCGAGGGGTGGGAAATTCCAGCATTGGGTGAATTTTCATCGTCGAAACACGAATAACTCAGAAATGTGTGAAATTCTAGAAATATCTACTTCTTAATAAATCAACAAAGCTGTAATGTGTAATTTAGAAATCATGCCTCGATACTTGAACATTTATTTTGATGGTTTACAACATACAAAATCCTACGTGATCACGTGTTTTATCTGTTTCCTTTTTACTATACATGTCAACTAACTTATGTGTTTTGTCTTCGTACTATTCTGTTCTTGCATGCTCATTTGTGTTTTAATAATTGGACCAGCGCGACTTACGGTTTTGGTGGTGGGACTGTGGTGGTAGTGATGATGGTGACTTGCGGTGGTGATACCGACTATCGGTGACGGTGGCTTACGGTTTCGGTGGTGATGGTGATGGTGGCTTTCGGTGATGGTGGCTTACGGTGATGGTGGCTTACGGTGGTTTTAGGCGTTATGATGGCATCCTTGAATGGCGACTAACAATTACCACAGCAATGGTTTCCCTGACCATGCGTCGATCTGACTACAATGGACTTATTGTCTATTGCATCGCCATTTTGATACCGAACGTGGATCCACAACTTGGACGTCGAGAATTTCCCGCTTCTGCCGTTGTCTCCAAGGGAGTACACGCAGGGTTGATTTCTGGCTCCGGGAATCGTATAGCGTTCACGTGTGTCCAAGTTGGGAGTATAACTGGAAATAAATGTCCGATTTGTGCACAACGGACGGAAAAAGGCCTAGTCAGGCCTATTAAAACAGGCATTAGTCCCAACCACACACATACACCATAATTTCCGCGTCGAATTAGAAATCTTAACCATATAAAACTTTACCTTTTTCCGATCTTCAACGTGTAAGACCCGCTTAACGGAAAGGGACCACGTTGGCTTTGTTTTACACAGAACCCTAAATAAGGTAACACTAACAATAAGTTTATACACTACTAACAAATAACTAACTCTTTACCTTATTACACACTACTAACACTACTTCTACACGAAACACTAACTCCCTTACTACACACTACTAACTTTCCTAAAATAAAAGAATTAAATATTACTCAAAAATCACACTTTTCACTTCGGACAACTAACTCGATTTTTAAGAACACGCCGCGCACTACTAACTATCTCGAAGTCTTGAGCCAGAAAGAAAGAATTGGTTGGACGGCGGTATCTAGAAGGTTCTTGGGGCTTCCCTTTTTTTGACAAAACCAGTATTATTCATTCGTGAATCATATTCCTTTTTTATGCTGCATTTACAGTGTAAGAATAATGAAAGTCTAATTAGGTCGACTACTGAATGAACACCGTCTACTGACACATAGGTGGCAGCACTACTTTGCATAAGGCAAGGTGTTTTTAAAGGAGGTGGTGCACTTGGCGAAGCTAATGCAAATCGATTTAAGAAACCAACGGTTACAGTAGTGAAGGTGGCACGGTGTGGTATCCACTAGTTGCCTAGTGCAGCTCCACTAAAACCCATTCCTTACTCTCTCCTCTGCCTGGATCCCCCCGGGACCACTGTGAAGCGACTACTTCGGGGGGTGGCTGTGCTCATGCACTTGTCGTACTCTCAGCGCTAGCTGGCGTTGCTAGATCGCTGCTCTTCTCTCCATTTACGCTGCAGCTCTGACATAATCTGTGTGACTGCCCTGCTGACGGCATTCCAAGAGTCCTCCTCTCGACACATTTCATCAACGACATTCTCCACGTTAAGGACGGGCATCTCCGTTCGCACTGCCTCGAACCTTGGACAGTCAAAGACCACATGCTCCGGCGTTTCATCGACGTTGCCACACTCCGGACAGAGGGGTGACGCTGCGTGTCCGAACCGATGCAGGTATTTCCTGAAGCAGCCGTGGCCAGACAGGAACTGCGTTAGGTGGAAATTGACTTCTCCGTGTTTTCTGTTCACCCAGGTCGAAAGAATCGGTATTAGTCTATGTGTCCATCTACCGTTCTCCGTCGTGTTCCACTCCTGTTGCCACTTAGCCAATGACTCCACTCTCACAACTTTCCGTACTCTTCCGGCTTCTCTCTGCCTGTAGCACTCGCTGTCCTCCGCCAGGGTGATGCCGATAGGGATCATACCGGCGATAACGCATACTGCTTCCGACGAGATGGTTCTGTACGCACTCACGACTCGCATGGCCATGAGCCGGAACGTACTGCTCAGTTTCCTTTGGTTCTGCTTCGTTTCCAGCGCTGGAACCCAGGCTGGACCTCCATATCTCAGTATCGATGATGACACGCTGGCCAGAAGACGCCTCTTGCTACTGCTGGGACCAGCGTTGTTCGGCATGATTCTAGCTATCGCGTTGATGGCCTTCGAAGCCTTCTCACAGGCATATTCGACGTGGCTGTTGAAGTTTAGCCGGTCATCGATCATCACTCCCAGGTATTTTAACACACGCTTCGAGGCTATGGTGTGCTCCCCGACGGTGATTTCTGCCCGCTGTACCGCTTTACAGTTACTGACCAATAACACTTCCGTTTTGTGGTGGGCTATTTGCAGCTTCGCTCCTTTCATCCAGTTACCAATCATGTCGATTGCCTCGGTTGACAACACTTCCACCTCTTCCAGCGTCTCGCCTGTTACCGTCAAGACGACGTCGTCCGCAAAGCCAACGATCTCAACTCCTTTGGGCAGTTTCAGCGTTAGCACGCCGTTGTACATCCCGTTCCAGAGCGTTGGACCAAGGATGGAGCCTTGTGGAACTCCCGCTGTGATCCTAATCGATCTCTGTCCCATGTCTGTCTCGTAGACCAGAACCCGGTTCTGGAAATAACTCCTCAGGATCCTGCACAGGTAGTCAGGGACCCGCATTCTATGCAGTGCTTCGGTGATGGCCTCCCAGCTGGCGCTGTTGAACGCATTCTTGACGTCGATCGTTATCACGGCGCAATATCGATCTCCTCTCCGCTTCTGTTTGGACGCCTTTTCAGCTCTCTCGACCACTGTCCGAATTGCATCCACCGTCGATCTCCCTTTCCGGAATCCGAACTGCCTCTCCGACAATCCGTGCTCACTCTCCGTGTATTTCGTCAGCCTGTTTAGGATGATCCTCTCCAAGAGTTTTCCGAGTGTATCCAGCAGGCATATAGGCCTGTATGATGCTGGATCCCCCGGCGGTTTTCCTGGTTTCGGCAGCAACACTAGCTTCTGTATCTTCCACCTGTCAGGGAAGTGACCCTCGTTCAGGCATTTCTGCAGCACCATCCTGAACATGTCCGGGGACGACTGGATCGCCGCTTTCAACGCTACGTTGGGGATTCCATCCGGACCGGGAGCTTTCTTCACCTTCAATCCTTTCGCCACTACTACGAGCTCCTCGTTGGTGATTTCGACGTTATCTCCCTCTCCTTCTCCGTACGGTGTAGGTGGCCAGGTTGTTGAGTCGTGCTTCGGGAAAAGTCCTTCCACGATGACTTTCAGCTTCTCTGGGCACATTTCAGCGGGCATCGTTGGACCTCTGATCTTCGCCATCACGACTCGGTATGCGTCGCCCCAGGGGTTGGCATCAGCGTCTCGACACAGCTCCTTAAAACAGTTCGACTTGCTCTGCTTAATCACTCGTTTAAAAGCGGCCCTGACCGCTCGAAACACTTCTCTTCGTTCCTCTCTGTCTGCTTCCGTTCTTGCTCTCTGAACACGTCTTCTGGCTCTGAGACAACTAGCGCGGAGAGTACTAAGTGCCTCGTTCCACCAGTAGACTGGACGCCGTCTGTTATTTGGCTCCAGTTTCCTCGGCATGGTCGTGTCACATGCTCTCACTAACGTTTCTGTCAGCTCGTCCGCATTTAGATCTATGGGACTCCCGTCCACACGAAGTGCCTCAACGAACAAATCCTTGTCGAAAGCTTTCGTCTTCCACTTTCGGTCACAAGTTCTCGTCCTCCGTACTGCCACAGTATTCCGTTGACCGATGCCATATCGTATCGCCTGATGGTCGCTA